CCTTGAGCCAGTGGGTAGAGTTAGCTTGCAATACTGCATTCTAACCAATGTGCTACTAATACACCAACTTGGTTGATGGCCCAGAGCAGAAAGAGGCCTCCATAATTCTCTGCTTCCTTCTTGTGCAGTTATTTGCATTGGCCACAAATTGTTCCTGTAAATCGTTTCTGGAATACATGATGGCTGTTTCTTCTCAAGAAATGTACGTCTGATCTCTCTTGCTTTTAAATACTTGATTGAATCCTGCGTGGCTTTATTCCTGAAACCTTTGGCTAAAGACTCCAATCCTCTGCCATGTTCTTTTGTGGCAAAAGCTTAAACAGCTCGTTTGGCTGCCCTGTGTTCCTATTTCACCTGGTTCTCTGCACAATATGATCTACACAGTCCATGTTTTTTGGTGAGGGCCTTTCACCAGTAGTTCTGCATTTGAATCACATCTCAACGATGGTTTTCAAACTTTACTTCATATCCTTCCTGTACCTAAAGCAACCTGGATTGCAAATGTGAAACATTCAATGCATCCTTAATAGTTGATTTCCAGTTGATTTCCTGCGCTTTATCTCAAAGACACGACCACTTTACCAGTAAAATAACGTGCGGGGACCTTCTCAGTAACTCTGATTACATTATGATTTGTCGTTCCTTTTCCACAATTTTGGAATGGCTCATTATCTCTTAAATGTTCTTCAGACTGGAATTTCAGGTTCATTCTGCCTGCAATGTCGTTCAGACTGGCATTTCAGGTTTTTTTTCCTTGCAATTGGCGGAGCCCTTTAGAATAGGGTTACAGCTTCTCTCTCCCATTTGGTTAGTTTGAAGTCTTGTAAATGATTTATTACAAAACAGAGATCTGTCCTATGTCTTATTTCCCGTGTGCAACCTGTAGTCTAAGAGCCTTTTATCAGAGTATAGCAGGAAAGCAAATAACATTGACCCAACATGGGTCACGGAGTGCAATAAAGATGTACTCTGTAAAGAGCTGCTTTGCTCAAATTCTTTTCCATGACATTTTCAAGAAAACCAAGGTGGCTTCCTGTGAGGTAGAGGAAAACAAACATTCCATGAAACAGCCAAAAGAAATCTTCATCTTCTAGAATTGTTTTGTCTTTTAATGACTCCATAATCCCTTGCGGGGCGGAGTCAAGGCAACTGTGTGGAGCTGAGTGTTTACTGGCCGCCAATGCGGAGTTTGCAGCAGATATATTCTTCATGGTGCGCAGAGAGAGAAATATCTGCCTCTGCCTAGGATCAAACTCACAGCCTCCTGATTGTGAGGTGAGAACTCCACCTCTAGGCCACCGTACCACTCTCTTAAATGTCTAGCGTGATTGAATGAGTAAGAGAGTTAACAGCTTCCCCTGAAGTCTGAAGGGACAGCTTGAAAAATAATAATAATCCACAGATGGTCAGGATCTAAGGTCCTGGGAGGCTGCAGTGACAGAGATTATGCGTCTTGAAGTGAACCAGAAATTGGGTCCTGGCAACTGGACCTCTTGTCTTTTTGAAACGTTTCACTGCTTATCTAAATTGTTTCTGTCTCTAGCTGCTTATCTCTCTCTATTTTCTACTCGGGAGATAAGCAACTTGCAATATTGTAAACCCAAAAGACAAGAGGCCTGGTGCAGTGGTGGGATTCAAAAAGTTTTACTGCTTGTTCTGTGGGCATGGATTGGTGGGCATGGCATGTTGGGTGTGGCAGGGGAAGGATACTGCAAAATCCCATTCCCTCCCCATCCCACTAACCTGCTTTACAGTTCCGTTTTCCTCTGCAAGGCAACCAAAGAAGACCCAGCCCATCAGCTGGGACTCGGGAGGTGGGGAATCGATGGGGGCAGGGCCAGTCAGAAGCGCGATTGGCCGGGTTTCCGAACGACTAAAAATTTCCGCTACCAGGTCTCCAGAACTGTTCAGAACCGGCTGAAGACCACCTCTGGTCTGGTGGCCATGATTCACTTTCCAGACAATTCTACCTGGGTGGCTAAGAATCTTCACCGAGGTCTTGAGGTGAAGGACAATCTTTCCGTTCAACTACGAGCTTGTTTTTAGTTTTTGTACCTTCCAGTCAGTGTTGTCCACTTGAAAGTTGCCAGGAGAAGTCCACGAGTTGTGTTGGCAAGGTGCTGCTTCCTTGGGTTGAGAGAAAGGGGCAATCCTGTGTACAGGTGGTTCTCCACTTACGACATCGTCACTTTGAATGTACGCTAATCAGCATGCATTAAAGTGAAATTTTGTGGCATGCAGCTCTCACACCGCCTTCAATATACACTACACAATCATAATGGAATAAATACATAAATACAAAATCATGTCTATACCCACATATATTATACGACACAGGGAAACAACACAGTCTAGTTGGGATGTACATGTCAGGTTCCGTCACACGCACAACAAGCACAACAGGGCTGGATGTAAGTCGTTTATCTTCTTCCAGACAGAGCTGGTAATTTACTGAACAGCAGCTAGCCAAGACAAGCTAGCATAGATTAAAGTCAGGGTTAACTCCCAATCGGTCCTACCACCTTTATACACCCGATGTGCCCTGCCCCAACCATCCTGGCTCCCCCACCCGGGCCCAATCACCCTTCCCTAGAATGTTGTTCCTAAACACCGGCTGCGCCCGCCAGCCGCTCTCTTCATTGCTGCAAAGTCCCAGGGCTTCATAGTTGCTGACGTGCCGCCCCATCAGCTGTTCCGCATTAAGGTCACAAATGCCTCAGTCCCGATCTCTGCGACGTCTGAATGAGCAGTGAGTAGGGAACGAGGGCTTTGCAACAAGGGCTTTGTCAGCCCGCCCACCCCGATTGGTGGCCCACGGATGACATCAGGCTGACAATATACATGTTCATGGCAAGAACGACAACAGCACAACTGTCATTTAGTGACTGTTCTGAATTACAACGGCATTGAAAAAAGGGACTTCTTGTTGTGGTTCATCGGCAGCCTGTGCAGACACCAGTGGAACTGGACAGTGGGGAAGAACGGGGACCAGTCCTGGAGTTTGGAGAGGACTCAGACGAAGGTCCTGCATCTGATGCAGAGACGGGACCAGAACCATCTGGAAATTGTGTGCTGACTCCAGAGCCTCCGGAGTCTGGCAGCAGCAAGGCAGAGGACCCAGGGGAGCCTGTTCCTTGCGCATGTGTGCACAGAGCTGCTAGAAGGCAAGAGCAGCTGAAGCAGAAGGGGCGACTGGGAGGTGATTGCCCCTCCCATAAGATATAAAGGTCAGGCAAAGGTGAAGAAACCTTTGCAGGAAGCAAAGATGTTTGTTCTGTTTGGATTAAACCTTGAAGCTCTGTGTGGACTTCGTATACTTCGTTTTGATTTTTTAACCATTAATTTGGTACTTTAGTTGTTGGCAGCAATTCAAAGGAGAGAAAGGTGGGTGCTTATCTCGAGAGACTGTTTGGGACTCATTATTGGCTGGGAATGAACATAATTCCCAGAGTTGAAATAAAACAAGAGTTATTTGGGCTAAGCGTGTGCTTAATTACGGTCTCAGGAAGCCTTGGTCAGAACACTTATGACAGTTTTTCACCCTTATGACCATTACAACCTCCTTGTGATCATAATACAGATGCTTAGCAATTAGCTCCTGTTTATGACGGTCGTAGTGGGTCATGTGATTCCCTTTTGAGACCTTCCGACGAGCAAAGTCAATGGGGAAGCTAGATTCACTTAACAACCTTTTACCTAACTTAACAAATGCAGTGCTTTACTTAACAACTTTGGCGCAAAAGGCTGTAAAAATGGGACTAAGTTCACATAACAAATGTCTCACTGGGCCACGGAAATTTTGGGCTCTACTGTGGTCGTAAATTGAGGATTACCTGTACCCGACATAGGTAGGGGGCATTTTGGGAGCAGCTGGGGAAAAGGCTGCACATCCAACTGCTTCAAACTCACACATCCTGCTGACCATCATTTCGATATTTTTTTTTAAACCATATTGTTCTAAAATACTTTCGCCTTATCGCATCTACAAGACAAACACAAACTAGTCATAAAGTAAATATTTCCCTTCTGGCAGCGGCTATTCTGACAAAACTCTCCGAATTCTTTCTTTCTTTCTTTCTTTTTTTGTTAAATTGCACCCAGGGGCCGTCTTTGGTTTTTGTATAAATTGAACCGGCGGGTTCCTTGCTGACTCTCAGAGAGTGGAGCCGCTCCTTGTCCTTTCGTCCTAGCAAGAGTTTCCTGCTTCTTCCCCAAAGCCTCTTAAGATGGTAAGTAAAATGGTTTCTTCTTTATTCACAAACCGGAGCTCGGTTTAATTTGGAGGGGAGAAGAAAACGGCTGGAAGAATGAGGCGGTCCTGTTGGGACAGGCGATCTCTCGATGCCGAACCCAGAGTTGTAGCTGTACTCATAATAATGAGAGGAATCCTCTGTAGCTTATTCAGATTCCTTCAGTAAAGGCAGAAATACAGAAAGAAACGAAGCACAAATGCCAGCAGGTACTTCTCTATAACCCCAGAAGAGAGAAAGGACAAAAAGAGGAGTCCCCTTTCTCCTCCACAAAGTCCCCCAGGTGGGAGAAGGCATGACACTGATGTGGAAGTAAAGTAGGTCTCCTTCCATCTGTAGTGGGATCAATTCGATCAACAGCATCAAGGTGAGCTCCGGTGGCCTAGAGGTGGAGCTCTTGCCTCACAATACGGAGGCTGTGAGTTCAATCCTAGCTAGTGGGTAATATTTGGAATAGAGGCTTTCCTTTTCAAGAAGGGGGTTGAACTAGATCGGGGTTCACCAACCTTTTTTGGTCCAAACTCATAATTTTAAATCCCGCGGACCAGAGACCCTGGGAAAATCCCCCCAAAAAGTCTGCTGGAAAATTAACCACCCCATTTTCCTACCGATCGATTGTTCTTTATTTGGGATGGCAGGATACCGTGCCTCCAGCTCCGTTCTCGGGGGGAGAGAGAGAGAGAGAGACTTTCGGCTTCGTGCAAGGAAAACAGCAGAAGCTGCAGAAGTCTTTCTTTCTCTCCCCCAAACTCCGCCAGAAACGAGTCTTTGCCGGCGCAGCCTCTTGGAGCAGGAGGCCTTACAGGGTCCCAAAGATTCATTTTCTGGCAGATTTGGGGGAGAGAAAGAAAGACTTTTGCTGCTTTCCTTGCATGCATCTAAAAGCACAAGAAGGAAGAAGCGAAAAGAAGCAGGCCGGTGGCCAGGCAAAGTGCGTGGGGCGAGTGGGGCAAGTTCCCCCCCTCTGCCCTTTCCCCCCTCCCCTCACTACCTCGTGTTGTTCGCAACGCAGGTGACACAAGCCTTGTGTTCCCGCCGGCCACGTGGGCGGCTCAGCCTTGTGTTCCCATGCAACCTTAATTGTTTTGGGGGTGACATTTCTCTGCGGACCACCAAAATTTTCTCGCATACCACCAGTGGTCCCCAGCCCACTGGTTGGTGACCACTGGACTAGATGACCTCCAAGGTCCCTTCCAACTCTGTACTTCTATGATTCTACCTTTAATACCAATGCAGAGTTTTGCTTTGGGAGGGGGACATAAGTATTACCTGTTTGCCAAACACCTGGATTTTTTTATCACATGACCATGGGGATGCTGAAAAGGTCGTAACTGTGAAAAATGGTCATCGGTCACTTTTTTCAGTGCCTCTGTAACATTGAACAGTGACTAAGTGAACTGTTGTAAGTTGAGGACTGCCTGTGTTGAAAGAGGACATTAGAAAGATTTTGAACAGCCGGTTTCTGAAGCAACCGCTAAGTTCTCTGCTGACTTACTTTTTCTTTTCTTTTCTTTTTTCTTTTCTTTTCTTCCTTTCTCAGAGAGTGTTCTTCAGCCTGATTGTCTTCTCTTTCATGCTGGCTACATGTCAAGCAGCATGCTTTATGGAGGCCTTTGAACCTTACTTTATGAACGGTAACCAAACTCTTTATTGATCCGAACAAATCATGACTGTACGGCTAGAATAATGCATCTACACTATTAAAAACAATGTTGAGACCAGAGGTGGTATTCAGCAGGTTCTGACCCATTCTGGAGAAACAGTATGGAAATTTTGAGTAGTTCGGAGAACTGGCAAATACTGTCTCTGACTGGAGATTTTAGAGTATCCTTTCCTGCCACGTCCACCAGACCACGCCCACAGAACCAGTAGTAAAAAAAATAAATGAATCCCACCACTGGTTGAGATTCTAGAAAGAGTGCAGAGAAGAGAAACCAGGATGATTAGGGGACTGGAGGCTAAAACATATGATGGACGGTTGCAGGAACTGGGCCTGGCTAGTCTAGGGAAGAGAAGGACCAGAGGAGACAGGATAGCAGTTTTCCAATATTTGAGGGGCTGTCACAGAGAGGAGCAAGGGGTCAAGCTATTTTCTAAAGCCCCTGAAGGCCAGGCAAGGAATAATAGATGGAAAGTGAACAAGGAGAGATTCAACCTGGAAATAAGGAGGAATTTTCTGAGAGTGAGAACAGTCACAGAAGTTGCCTTCAGAAGTTGTGGGAGCTTCATCCCTGGAGGCTTTCAAGAAGAGACTGGACTGCCAACCTCCAAAATGATGTAGTAGGGTCTCCTGCTTGGGTGGGGGGTTGTATTTAGATGACCTACAAGGTCCCTTCCAACTCTGTTATTCTGTTTAAGATGTGTTTAGCCCAGACTTCCACCAGAGGCCTCCTGACTAGACCAGAAAACCCCAATCATAATAACGCAGAAGTTGTTGGCTCATCACGGGGTCCTTACAAATCTGATCAATAAGTGAAACAAAATGCTTTGTAGCAAATGCAGAGAATTTGTATACCAGTCACCCTTTGCGCTAATGTCGGTTTGGGCACAGCTTCCAGTTCACCTGAAGTAATTTTTTTTTTTAAGGGAAGGAAGTGTGGCCAAACAAATGTGTGGATCGTTATGATGGAAAAGAACATCCCATTGGGTCCAAATGGAATACAGACGATTGTTTAGAATGCGAGTGCCTCAAAGTAGGAATGTCATGCTGCCACAGGTAAAGAATCATGCCTATCTTTTGGGACCAGTGGGAGTCACTGTCTGGCCGTACTTCTCTGGACTTCGTGGCCAGTTCCCGTCAGTGTTGAGTGGGGTAGGAGAGGTCAAACCCCAAGTTTCTTCAATGCGGGGGGTCTCAGAGCTCAAGTCCTTCGAGTCTTCTTTTCACGATCTACACAAAACATAATGGAATGAAATAGAATATAGAATATAGAAAATAGAATATAGAATATAGAATAGAATAGGAGAGAATATAGAATAGAATAGAATAGAATAGAATAGAATAGAATAGAATAGAATTAGAAATAGAATAGAATAGAATAGAATAGAATATAGAATAGGAGAGAATATAGAATAGAATAGAATAGAAATAGAATTAGAATAGAATAGAATAGAATAGAAATAGAAATAGAAGAGAAGAGAAGAGAAATAGAATAGAAATAGAAATAGAAATAGAAATAGAATAGAATAGAATAGAATAGAATAGAATAGAATAGAATAGAA